TTTTTTTATGTCTTGTCATATCTCTATATTTATTGGATATTTTATTTATGGTAAAAAGTGCAAAATCTGTATAGTCTGCCTTTTGAATTTTACTTAAGGTGCACAATATACTTAAAACTGCAATTTTGTCCCATCTTTAATTAGGTTGAATGTGTAGAACATTTTACAAGTTCACTATGCGAATTGTTAGTTTATTATTCAAATTGTTTGATCAAAGAACAGGATTTTTGGTAGTGTAGTAAGCATATATTAAAAAGGAGAATTAATTTTTAAAAAATATTAAAATCACCAATGGCAACGTTCGCAAAACGTTGCCAAAACCAAAGAATGGTAATTCACAACTGTGGAAAAACGTTATAAAAGGGTCTACCGCAACGTTTCAAAAACGTTACAAAAGAGTCTTCTGCAACGTTGAAAAAACGCTACAAAAGAAGTTTTAGAATCGGTGAATAAGGGCTTTCCTCAACGACAACACCGACCCCCGCAACACTTGGAAAAACGCTGCAAAAGGTCTACCGCAACATTTTTTGGCCGCTCCAAAAGATTTTTTTTTGGTGTAGTGAATATGTCGCATGCACACCTTCATTTGCAATAAAGTGGATTTTTCCTACTTCATTAGTGGTCGCTGAATGAAAATCAAATTGAAACCCAGTGATAGATCTAGCTGATAGGAATCCTCGAGAATAACAGTAAAAGATTTACATCAGTTTGAAGTGGTTTTGGTCCATGTACAGGAGACTCCTTTTCCAAGCTGGGTCGGAGCGAGTTTAAAAAATCATGACCACAGACTCTTAGTTGCCAATAGGATGAAGAATGAGGATTTGAATGTGAGTAGTATTGAAAATAGATCATTGAAGGATAAGAAAGGAAATGCAAATTTAATGGGCTTCAATTTGAAATTCCACTAGTGATTGTAGGTTGATTGTGGGATTACTAATGTTGAGCGTAAATTGTGGGATTTGAAGTGATTTATAATTTTTTTCATGTTTCACTTGTAAAAGTCAGGAATAGAAGAAGTCGAGTATTAAATTTGGGATTTGGATAATAATTATAGTTCCCAACGTAATTTCCACTAGATGGTGTGAAGTTATATTCTAACGATGATTTTTTTTTTTTTTTCTTTTTCATTTGCATTTGCTCATACACTCAATTTTAACGTCATTTCGACCATCGATGGGAATATTATTGTGTTTTAAGTTTCATTATTTCTGCAAAGGGAATTAGATAGCATGGACGACACTTTCCTTTCTTACCTTGACCCAGTTCAAAACTTCCAGCACTGGCCAAAGTTTACTTTGACTAATACTTTTCTGACCCCACCCAAATCCCTACCCCAACTCACTAAAACAGAAGGGGAAAAAACAAAGAGTGAGAACGCTCCCTGCTATACTTTTCAAGATCTATATTTCTTCAAATTATTTTACTACTTTTCAATATCTATTAATTTTCATTTAGCTCCAACCCCTTTTGCCCCCTTCAGGGAATTTTTCTATCTGGTTTACTATTATCTGTGTCCTCCTTCCACACCAACAGATAATACTTTTCAAGCCTCCTCACCGCACTTGTTTCTCTCTCTAAATCCCTCATATAAATGAATTCTCACAGCTGATGAAGGTGTTTGTATATACATTAACATGCGTGTGACGCATGTGTGTGTATATATAATGGAAGCGAGGACAAGAAAAAGAGGCAAGTGTGGCGAAAAGCCATGAATCTCATCATGAAGCAGCAGCAAACTTGAACTCACTGCTGTATATATACATATCATTCATGGACTCAATATTTCAGCAAGGTGAAGGAGAACGTGCCATCTTTCTCCGACATATGATGCAATCATTTGGCTGCACTTATATTTGCCTTTGGTCCTTCTTACCCCATCCATCCAAGTCTGAAACTCTCTCTCTCTCTCTCTCTCTAGATTCTCTCTTTATTTTTTGCTGTGCGTTTTGACGATTTTTTCCCAACAATACAAGCATTGTATATGATTTTGTGTGTGCATATGCTAAACAGATGCTTAATATTTTTGGATGGTGTGTCCCGCGAACAAAGCAGCCCGGCAAGTTCATCGTCTGGAAGCAATCTTTCTGGAAAGCTTTTCGAAGCATACTGTCAATCAGTACACTATGTTGATAACGGGTATATGTAACAAGAAGTAATTATATTATACACCAAATTTTGCTTATTAGTAATTAATTAATGGGTGGAAATTTTTTTTTTGCACATTTTTCCAGGAGAGTTCCTGGATTTGCTTTCAAGCATAATCTTCCTTTCATGGAGCTGAAATTACTAGACCTTTATAGACTTGCATCCAATGAAGTTCAGCTTCAATTTTATGGGGTAATTAATTGTGTATGAATTATCATATTACTCCAATGAAATATGTTTATGGTATTATTATAATTAAGTAACTCTACATTGTATTATTTTGATACAGGCAGCAGGGATTAAGGTTTGTATTTCCAAAATACTCAGAAATTGTATTACTTATTGCATTATAGTAAATGGAAATTAATGAATTGTTGTGTCTATAGACTGTCGTGCTTATGGGGCGCGCGAGGGGAGAGATCGAGATTGGCATGTCCAGTGACGCTCAAGTAAGGAAAATAAAATATGGACCGCTTGACGTCTGTCCAATGGAAACTTGATGATTACTTTTTATTTTTCAGGTGGATTTCGAAATGGAGATGAAAAATCGATTCCCTCTCGATTTCTCAAGACGGGTACCCCAGACGACAGAACAAAACCGGGGTTCATCATCTTCGTCGTCACCGAGGTCATTATCAGTCAATAGCTCCGAGTACTCGCCTCTACTTTTTAACGTTCCGGCCGCTTCTTTTGTAACACCAGAGGCATCAATAGAGCCACTTGTTGAGAACACGAAATCTCTTGGACTATTGGCAGTGCCATCAGCTTCAATCACAACCAGCCCTCTTCACGAAGCCCTACATACCTTAAGCCAAATGCGAAACATTCAATTCCCAACCATAGAGAGTGAAGATGCAGCAATGACAAAGGCAATTCTTGCTGTGTTATCTTCTCCGGCTACTTCATCGTTGTCTTCTTATCAAACAACGCTAAATATGCCTCACATTCCTCCAATAATAAGCCATAAACCTAGTGCATTTTCAAGTTACAGGCAGGGTTTATCCCCTATGTTAATGCCAACTGCAGCCAGAACCAACAAAAAACAGAATTTGTTCAGAAGAGCAATGCTTTTCTTCAGAAACTTGGACATGATTCGAAGGCAACAAGAACTGGTTCAAGTTGGAAACCTACCAACGACGATGCAATTACACCACATGATATCTGAACGAAGACGACGCGAAAAATTAAATGAAATCTTCCAAATCCTGAGATCATTTCTCCCTCCAGGATCAAAGGTCAGATAAAATATCACTCCGATTCTATAAATGAGTGAAATCTCTATCGAAAATGGAAAATCATTGTACTTTTTGTATCATACAGAAGGATAAAGCTTCAGTGCTAAATAACACAGTCGAATACTTGAGTTCATTGAAAAAACAAGTGGAAGAACTTAGCAAGAAAAAGCAGATATTGGAGGCTCAGCATTTACCTCCAAGATCTGAAGCCACTGGAGATAATCTTCAAACGGGAGATTCTTCATCAGTTGAAAGGCTGACAAATGTTCGAATTACGCATGTTTCCACTTCAACATCAGAATCAAGAATGTTGGATGTGAATGTGACGACAAATGGAGAATGCAGCTTGTTAGATTTGGTTACTCGCATCATAGAGTTCTTGAAACCGCAGAATAATGTGAGCTTAATATCTGTCGAAGCAGACACCAGGCTGATGGGAGAATCGACCAACTCAGTACATGGAATCATGTTCAGATTGAGAATTGAGGTATATATAACTAAATTTAAGACTTTATATATTGATAAATACATTATTTTTATAAGAAATTAGTATACATAAAATGCATGGAGAATGGCTTTAAAGTGCATGGTTTCTGTTCTTGCTATTAGAGGACCTTCCCATATTGATATTGTGAATTGATGTAATATACTTTCCAGTTAATAATGAAGATTGTATTTATTGCATGTTTAATTGTTTAAGTTTGAAAATTATCCCATCATTCTCGCTCTATAAGAACCATGAGATCACCTCAATGGCACCTTTGGCTTTGAGGGGGTCACAAACTGACCATAAAACTAGTTCAGTAAGTGAGATGTATTAGCTATTTGTTCTCAAATTAGGCAGTAAGTGTCGGAGAAAGAGGGGAATGAAAATTGTATGTCATTACATGTTTAATTATATTGAAGTAACTAAACTTAAAAAATTAGAACATATTTGGTACGTTAAATTAGACAAAATTTTATATAATTAAGACTTGTATGTGATAATATTTATCAATTTTTTAGTTCAATTCAACCCAGTCGAGCCTATCAAATATGCTACACATGTCTGTACTCTTGAGACATGTTCATAGTTTTGGGCATGGTGCCTACCCCACCACCAACAAAGGTGATAAATTAAAGTAAAACGGTAATTTCAAGGAACTTTCTGAGTTTCCCGTGTTTCCAAATGTCATTGTTGTTTATTGACATTTCACTAGGAAAACAATTAAAAAGTATAAAAGATTTTTATTATTGTTTAATATTCTTTGTTTTGTAGGGACATGATTTTGACGAGTCTAGTTTCTACGAAGCTCTAAAAAGGGTTGTTGATGACGTGATACGGTAACCAGGACTATCCACCTGTCAAATTCCACTGTGACGGCGCTTGGCATAATTGGGGGCAGTGGTTCACCATTTTTTCCACTAATGAACAATTATTTTGTAGAAAATTGAGATTTCAAACGTATGACTTGTTTGTTCCACAATTTTAGTAGAATTACCTCCCAAAAATCAATTTATAGGTGTTGAAGCATATATAAATGTTTATGTTGTTTCTATTCCTGTGTATACTTAATTTAGAGAGAGAAGGATATTTAATAATATAGAATTCTTTTTCCGTTCATGAAATTATTACCGTAAAACAATAAAAGCAAATCGAGTGCTCTTAATATATTTTATGCTTAGTTATAGTTCATCGTGTATGTCTAGGGCATGTTGTAATATTCGTTTGAGCAATTAGTACTTGTATCTTTTGACGCGTAAGCAAAAGCATTTTGCATTTTCTTTCCACCTAAGCAAAGCGACGAAGGTGGAATTTTTTACTTGACACAACATGAGCATCGAAATAATAAGCATTGATCTCAATAAACTTAGGATTTCCCACATGAATACCTAGTTGATGAATTTGTTACATCTCTTATTCTTGATAAGCATAGGATCGACGATAAATCTATGGTCAACTATATGAATCATTATTTCAATTCTATACAAATATAGACATATAGCGAACCATGTTAATCTAGCTAGCTATTGATGCGTATGTTAGCATCCTCAAAAAAATGAAGTAAATAAAATTCTTATGTTGCCGATCTTGACTGAACATTAATTTCTAAAGACAATTTGGGATCACATTATTGAAAACAACAGCGTCCAACAAAGATTGATAGAGGCATTCAAACATGGTCAAAATGTCAAACAAATAATATTGGCTTTTTCGAAAAAGTTCAGTCACCTAATCAAAAAGTCCCTTTCATGAAACTAATTCAATTATTCAAGGAATTAAACAACCTTAATCTATATTTATAATGTTTTATTAAACATATAAATACTGTTACTTGTTTTTATAAATTCTTTTTTTTTTTCGCAAATGTTTCTATGTTTTCTTGATTTTAACAAAGATTTCTTTGTACAAATCAAAGAAATTAGTTAGAGACGACGATCAAGACTGATCGATAATCATTTTTAAGAGAAGATCCGATCTAATAAAACCATGGATTTAAGAAAATAAATGGCGTCTGAATTATGATCCATACATCTTCTAGAGCATATCAATTTCTACTTAATTATATGTATTATAGTCCAAAGTCATATAGGACAATTGTCATCTTGTACCATCGTTGTCGTATTTCTAATTGTAGTTACTAATTAACCAACCTAGAGTTAGTATCATGAGAAAAAGAAAAGATATATCTTTATGAACTATAAATTCAATTTCCTAATAAAAATAAGGATGGAAAATCTGCAAGAACTTGTAGGCTCAAAATTGTCGCGTTTGAACACACTCCAACTCGTCCAACATCTTAAATCTGGAAACATTGTCGCTCGAAATGGTCCATAAATGTTTGATATTGTATTGTTTCTTAGTGAAGTAAGGTGTGATTAATGCAGTTTTACGTCTAGAAATAAGAATAAGATAGTTCATTTGCAAACCTCCTAATTAGCTACTACTTTCCTAGCCAATTAGTATTGGATCAATTGTATACATAGTTTCATTTCACCTATGTAACTCATTATACCTCCCTATTGCATTTTTATTTTTATTTTTATGAAATACTGCTTTCCTATGATGTATATGTTTGCATTAGATCTAGTTAGTGGATATTTGTATACAAAGGGATGGCATATCAGTCCAAATATAGCATTAATTAAATATATTCGTTTCTGTTCTAATTCTTCTCTCTCTTTTTGGTCAAACAAATGTTAAATAACTTCAACTTTAGTTTGAATTTCAAATTAATAATCTATGGTCAAAATATTACTTGGACTTCTTTAATTAGGTGAAGAGACAACTTTAAACTATTATGATGACTTGATTAATTCTTAATTAATAAATAGTATATAACAAAGATTGGATTATTTAGTTGAATTAGAAATACTCGATCATGATATTGAGTTTTGCTATTTTATGTTCGAAAGGTGTATTATAAATTATGCATACTTTTAATCTTGCATCTTTGTACTAAATTTATCTAATTTACTACACATGTGATTTAAATTATTTCATATGATTGAGATAATTTGACTAGACAGGATGGGCAGTAACAAACACGAAACTCAATTGCTAACATTAAAAGAAATATGATATTTTGCATTTTACTATTATATTTGCGTTTTTACTACATTGAACGGTAGACAATGACTCATAAATTTGTCATATTAATATACATCACAATTCTATTGGACAATGGAGAAGGAGACCACGACGACCTAAGACAGGTGATGATCGCCACAATTATATTCAATACAATACGTCTAGGGATGGCAACGGGACAGGGCGAGGTCGAGGCAACCTCCCCCGCCCCCGTCCTACCAAGCAATTCTCCACATCATCCCCACCTTGTTACCTGTTTAAGGCGGGGCGGGACCCTTGCCCGGTTTATGGCCCCATTTAATTTTTTTTTTTTATTTTTGATAATTTATTTTATTGCCCTCATTCATTAAATCGAGACAAATAATTTTAGTTGTCATTTTCTATTAAAATTAATGAAATTTCGTGAAATTTTGCATTTGAAGTATTGAATTCTAAAAAAAAAAATTAAACAGGGCGGGGGTGGGGTACCCATTACCCGTCCTCGTCCCCGTCCTGAACCCGCCCCGAATACCCGATTAGCAGGATAATCCCCGCCCCGTTTGGAGCGGGGCCCCACAAATATCGAGTTTGTCGGGCTTTTTTCCATCCTTAGATATATCAACAAAATGCTATGAGGAAAATTAGAAATGTAATAAGAAGCGGAGATTATCATGCAATACGTTTGGATAAGCTCTAGAAATAGAAAATATGGGCTTTTCCATCACAAAGTCAATTTGTTTTTTAGGATACACCAAGACCGGACGAGGGGTAGAATTCCCATACCATGAGATAAATGAAACATGTAATGGAGGATGGCAAAAACCTAATCTCCAGTCGAAGTCATGAAAACTAAAAAAGTATGGGAATTCCATGTTGGGAAAATTATTTACCATCATATTGATCATTCATGTTGGATCATCAACAATTTGTGAACCGAATCAAAAGCGTACCTGAATCTGATATAGTTATTGTAATGAATGAATCATGCGGTTTTAGTCTCCCAGATCAACATGTAGTTCTTTATTTCTCTCTGATGATGGGAGTCAGAATAGAATGAACCAAAACACATGTATGATCCAGGGACCATAACCGTATATATATCCTAACGGGCCATTAACCTAATTCGGCCCATCATAAAATTAGGAGCAAACCTGGTCTCTACACATAAAGGTACATACTTTAATTAGATGCTTCAAAACTCAAAATACTGAAACCTTATTAGATCACTTTAAACTGGCTTAACCAAAATTGAAAGCCTTTAATTTAATACACAATATTTCACATATAAGCCCACATATTCGATTAAAATCTTTACAATCTCCCACTTAAGCTATATGTGTTACCTTATATTTATGCATTAAATATAACCTTATGAGTACTCGGAATTTTGTTATCATTACCGAATGCATCTCCAAATAATCAGGTCCAA